CATTTAGGAACTGGGTGGACCCTGCATGCGCATACGCTAGAGTGATACCATACTCAGCTCAATTCGGGTCTCCCTTGCATCCCCGCAAAATACACGTGCGCACGAGCACATCGACAATGTGCTGGCAGGTCCGATTCCACGCATCTATACGCTCACGAGCATCCAAATATCGTACATCACTCAAGCAAGAATCGTGCAATGTGGTTTGTCAGCGTCATAATGACATCGAAACCTTCCATTGAAGTATATGCACCTGTTTATGTTAACATGCTCATTTAAGGAGGTCTGGTCAAGTGGTGTGAGGCCCCATCACGCGTGTTGCGGATGTCGACAGAGGCTTTTACGCCAGCGCAGTCACTGTGCCCGATCTCACCCCAATCAATACATCCCTCAGTAGAGTACGTCTGAGGTAATAAAAGTCGTGGCCTGGAAGGTTTCCGGCTGACAGTAACGCAGTGCTACTCAGGACTGAAAGTCACACTGTACTGACTTCTTCGGGTAACCTTTATGACACATTTCATGCGTATGCGATTTGAAACCGTGTCTAGCACACTTTATACGTGGACTTCACCTCTTATCAACCATTTCACCCAATATCATTCCAGGCAGTTTGGTTTGGACAGGTCACTGGAACATGGAGTAGGGAGACCGTTCTAGTTCGAACTCTTCACCTTGAGAATTCGTGATTTGAATGGGGATCAGCAGAGAGGCTAACATGGTCCTGCTCATGGCTAAGAGTCAAACGGCAATGCCTCTTTCTTATTTTAGTCTTTATGAAACATCTGATCTCTGTAAGAGCTGAGATTCCGTCATTCGTCTGTAACTAGTCACCACTCTCTCTTTCCCTCCACAGTAATATTTCGTCCTTCTAAAGTCCACAATATGTACCGTTATCCACCTGTGTCACCGTTCTTATGCGCTACCGAGGCTGAGAGATAAGAAGTCGCCGAGAGATGATGGCATCTGTGTTGGAGTTCAAACTTTTTTTGGTTGAGACTTCAACACTCTAACTCTGAGGGGCAACTGGACGTGCAGACAGTTAGAAAAGGACATCTTATGAATGGTCGTCGACCATCTTCAAGAAGGGGCCTGAAAGAGACCATGAATGGCATCGCGGTAAAGGGTTCACAGCAGTACTCAAATACCTTAATATTATCAATCGCTTGCATTTGCAGCACGTGCCTTTTGCAACAACCAGACCCATTCGAATCTGCTGACTTTTTTCATGTGAGGCAGCTTTCACTGGCTGCGACGACATCATGAGGTTTTGGGTACAAAGCCCTTCTCTAATACATGAACCTAACTTTGCTGTCCCAAATCCAAGCCGATCTCTTCAGCTGCGACCTTGAGTAGACATTGTCCTTAACGACCTGTAGTCGGTTTTGGGGTCCATACTATTTGGACTTCGCCATTGTAAAATATATAGGTCTTCTGATCCGCTTTCACAAATTGGTACACATGAGCACTGTCCATTGAGAGGAAGATTCGACCCCTAGGACAACACTTTTATTCGCCTGACGTTTTGACATCCGTCGCGGATTCTTCTCTACATTACCGATACTGACTAATTCAGTTCGGCCGAAGACATATTTAGTAAAAAATGGAAATAAGGGCGCCGAAAAAATAGAACGTTTTGCGTCCTCAGCGAATGCAACACCTGCAATTTGGTATTCGCAAGTATTTCTCTATGCATACCCTATCTGCGTGTAGCAACGTCAAGGAATATCGAGCATTTTACAAATATCTTCTCTAAGTGATTCTTTATATGTAAGTTCATGTCCGTGCATTTTTAGCTCTCATCGATTTGTCCAAAATATTCGCCATGATCTTATTTAAATTGCGAAACCTCAACGACACCAGGAGCAAGTCAGTTCTCGTCTCACTTTACAGACCAGTTCCTGGAGAGTGAAATGGGCACAAGAGTCGAAAGTGGTTAAGTCCTCATTTCTTATATTATCTTATACCACCGAAAATACAACTCCATATTCTAGTTTTTTTTCAGCTGGTATTTGAACCGTGATATTCAGTTCCTTTAGGTGTTTTTTTTTGTATAACGGACCCTCGAATGTTAACGATCTATTGAATCTGAAAAAGCCACTCATGAGTTCCCTTTAGGTCTGCCCGTGTTAGATTTTGCTAAGTCGGCCGGATCGCGTGCTTCCTACCCAGCTGAGTGACTACCGTCACGTTAGGCGGCGGGTTCCAAATCCCCCTTAAACCGTTTCTAAAAAAAGAAAAGAAAGCTGTATAATCTAGTTCTATTAATAAAAAACATAATAATGGCTCTTTTGTTCCTGTTTATCTGATAAGAGCTAAGACAATTTTAGAACTTTGTTGCAAATTTCAATTCGCATATCTGCTCGTGCATGACGCGATTTCTGTATTTTTTTGACAAAAGATCCTAAATTAACATGCGCTTAAGTATATCGTCGCAACTGCGATGAACAGAGTAAGTGCCTTTTCACTAATTTTGGGGGATGTATTCATTGCCGAACATCAATATTATTCAAAAGTATTGCTGTCATGAACACGATTTGTGCGTGGGTCTAAAATATGTTCCTTGAGTTCCTCTTCATCTGGCATATCAAAGTTGAAAGAATATGGCTATTGACTGCATGTTTTTCACTTTTCTGTTCTCCCTTAAAATAGCCATAAAATAACTAATAATATTTACAAATGATTC